AGAAAGATTGGAGCCATTTTTAAATAGGCATTATCCTCGCTACATATTTACGGGTACGCGAATATGCTAGGCCCCCCCAATGTGCGCGGCCTAGGCCTCAGCCTTGCATATGAATCGTAATAGAAACCAACAGAAATATTATCCATAAATTACTAAGTTGGAACACTAAATATGTAATAATATTCATTTTAATGGTATATATTTATTTCACACATATTAATTATTGGTGTAACAGACAGTCTTGGAATTGCTCTGTATAAATACGATCTTCCTGATTATGATTGCCGATGTTTCCAAAATGCTACTGTTTGAGTCCAACGAAATGGAGGTACCCTTAGTTTCCAGAGTCGGATTTGCGTCCCAGCTACTCAATTTGTTATCTTAATATCCTAAATTATAGATTATAAATTTTTATAGCAGGGATTTTGAATTTATTTTTGATCAAATTTTTTTTGTATTTTAAATTAATGATTTTCTAGGGCACAAAATCGTAAAAATTGTGTACCACGAATTGTCCATTAAATTACACTTTACATTGTTAAACTATTTATAAACATATTTCACCATTATGTTTGTTTTGTTAAGTAAGTTGTTTGATGTTTTTTCAGGTGCTGAAGTATGAACTTTCTCTGTATCTTTTATCTTTATTTAACAGTATTAGGATTTACAAACTCTCCTAACAAGCAGCTATCAGAAGCTATATCAAACACTGTCAACTGTTATCATCGACATGTGTGTCAACACAAAAAGCAAATTGCCATGTTTTTGATGGTGGATCATTCATTCATAGAATGGATTGGAAGAAAGGAGATACATATGATTACATCACAATGAAGTATGAATTAATTAAATTTACACATACTCATTTAATATACAAATCCTTATTGGTACTTTGCCGTCCAATTTCTTTTTGTATCTTTTTGTCTTTTCCCCTCCTCTCTTCCTCCTCCTTGATGTGAGTGATGTCAGTTCAAACAACATGCAGTGTAAAAACCATGAATCCCCATGAATGAGGGGGCAAACAAAAACATTTTCAAAATGAAAGCCACATAATAAAAAAATAAAAAGATAAAAATTAAAAAAAAAAAAACAACATTAAAGAAATTTCAAGGAGGAGGGTGTGTTGATCCTTGTTATACACAAGAAATAAGTGATCATGACACATAAGTTAACATTCAACAGTTCGTTTTATTCAGTACTGTCTGTACGCCATGTTATGTGTATGTCTGTCATTACTACGTTATCGTACTATAGGTGGCGCTATGAATGTATAATCAAGTATCACTACACATTCCCCCTTCAGAGAGTGTGAAATTGTTCCTTTTAAAGATTAAATGTAGTGTACCATGTAGTCTACAAATTACCAGTATTTCTTATTATTATTTACATCATAGTTCTGGTATTCAATTTAAGTCTAAGTGGTGTATGATTTGTTGAAGTACTTTGGGTTTAGTTTAGATTGACGCTCACTTTTACGAAGAGTTTTGGTACTGCCCAAACTTGGCTGGTTTTCCTGTTTTTGTGCGTTGACTTGATACGTCTGCTCATCTTCCTCCTCCTCGCCGCTTTCCATTGGTGTGGGTGGATGTGTTTTAAGGAGATGTTTCCTGTTTCTGTCTTGACTATGTACGATCGGTTAGGAAAGACTTCAGATTACACCCGCTCTTGTCCACAATTTTTTTTGTTTGATGTTGGTTTGCTCATATTCTGTACTCTCACTGTGTCACCTACAGTACGGCAGGCCCGTAGCCAGGGGGGGTTTTTATGGTTCGGGCGAACCCCCCTTTTCTAGCGAACCCCCCTGTTTTCTAGCGAACCCCCTCGAATTTTTGAATGAGTCCCACCCGTTTTTAAATTGTAGCTTGCATTACAAGCCTACATTCATAGAATATGTCAGCTTCCAGAAGTTCGGAGATTTAAATTAAAACGCAATTCCTTTACGATGGCACACATAAGGATGGCAAACATCGATAAAAACACGGCTGCCGTCTCAACTTTCACTGGCCTTTGGCTGAATGTTTGTAAGAAATGTACCAACCGGTATCGAAACCGGTCGCCGTCTACCTAGAGTAAATGGTGCCACCAAACGAAGCTAAAGTTTTGCGACTTAATCCACCAAATGCAAATAAAGTTTTGCGACTTAATCACCTAAATGTGGATTGTGTGGTTAGTTATTTGAAAAAGGAAATGTGAAAAAAAAAACTTTAGCCAAATACTGTATACAAAATTAAAAGTTTCCTGTAAACACTGAGTGATGTTTCGCTGTTGGCTAGGATCTAGACCTACCTAGGCTAGGCTAGGCCCTGTCTCTTATACACATCTAGATGTGTATAAGAGACAGATTATAGCCAGTCTCAAAATTAGGCTAGGAAGTTTGTTTTAAACAGCAGACACGCTATAGAACGGAGTGCGTCAAAACGAGTGTTTGTTAATGTTTAGTGATAAAGAATCATGAAACGTTGTAGAATAACTGACTTTTTTTCGTCCGTTGTTGCAAAGAAGAAAACGACAGATAGTCCTGATGGGTTATTGATTTCAAAATCAATTAGCCTAGCCTAGATGTTGACTAGCTAGGTTCGCTCCTTGTTCATTTAGATACAGAAATATATACACCGACGACAACAAAGTGTAGGCCTAGGCCTAAGTACAGTAGAACGTACTACAGGTAGGCCTACTAGGCCTAGGCTTTTGTTGTAAAAGTTGAAGTGCATGTACAGGATGTGCCATAGGCCTATATTTAAAAAAAATACATGTTGTTAATTATTATTGGTTGGCCTGGGACGGACCTAGGCAGCAGGCCAGCTTTACCGTCGGAAGTCCTGGGATTCGACGATGACGTCCGTGCACGTTTACAAACGCCATTGATTAGAATGAAAATAGACGCGCTAAATTTCGTTTTTTGTTTTTTGTTTTTTTTTTGTTTTTTTTATGAAAGAAAGAATTTATCGAACATTTATCTACATAAAAACAAGAATAATATTGTAGAAATTGTATTTCTAAAGATGCATGTAATTCATATTTTATTTTGTAGACAATACGGTAAATATTCAGTAAGATATACTAAAAACGATTATTAATTCTGAAATGTGCATCTCAGCTATTATTAATCAGTAGGCTATGTATTATGTTATAAAGTCTTAAAATAATAATTTCGAATTATGCTATATTTTGGGCTCTGACTTAATTTAACGATGGCCCTATCAGTAGTAATGGCAGTATTTGTGCTTTTTTTAGCCCTGTGGTAAAATAGTACTATTATTATGAGAGTCAAGAAGAAGTAGTAGAAGAAGCTTTTTTTTTTGTTTTATAATAATAAACGTGTTGAGTATATTGATATTGATTATGCGATGAGCTTTTTTTTTTATATCTTTCGGTGTGATTTAATCATGCCAATTTTCAGAAAATAATTTCAAATTTTATTATATTACCACCTTTTCATTACATAGATCTTTTTCAAAACATAGGCCAAACTGCTTTTATAACATTATTATAGACCCATTAAACACAAAAACTGCTCTGGCTTCGGTGGCTTCGCCCCCGACCCCACCATGGCCCCAGGCACCTGAACCCCACCAGGGGTGGCGACAGCGGGGGGGGGGGGAGGCGGACTCTAATATCGATTTAATAAGCCTTTGAAACCCCTGAATTGTCAAAATGTTCGGGGGCTTCACCCCCAGGACCACTTTTGGAACCTATTAATTGAAGCTCGACCACGCCCACTTTGCTTTCGTGGGGGGAATTCTGGCCCCTCGTCGGGGCACCGCCCCCCACCCGGGCAAATCCTGGTGCCACCTCTGGACCCCACGCCCAGAGAACCCCCCTTGAAATGACCTGGCTACGGGCCTGTACGTGGAGAGGTTTCATTGGTGTAGATGTTTTGTCAAAGTTTCTCTTTTGCCGTTGTTTAAGCTTTTTCTTGATAATATGTGTTTGTTTTCCCACAAGCTTTGGGTTTAATAAGGTATGTTTGATCGGCAAGTTGGATCTTATCTTCCTGCTGGTGACACTCCTTGTTTAAGCGGTGTACTCCCATATACTTGTAAAGCCAAATGTAGGTCTTCGCCACTATCTTTGACTTTACGGATCATGGTTTTCACTATTTTGACTGCATTTTCAGCTTGGCCGTTGGAAGCAGAATGATGAGGGCTTGAAGTTGTATGCTTAAAATTCCACGATGTAGCAAAGTCTTCAAACTCCCTACTTGCAAACTGTGGCCCATTATCGCTGATCAGTTCTATTGCTGTACTGTGACGAGCAAAGATGGATTTAATGGCATTTATTACATTCTTGCTAGTTGTGCTAGGTAGGGTACCAATCTCTACATATTGGGAGTAGTAATCCACCACTGCAATGTAATCTTTGCCATCAACCTCAAACAGGTCTGCTCCAACTTTCTCCCAAGGTTGGGTAGTCAACTTATGTTGTTGCAAGGGCTCTGTCTTTTGCTTATCTCTATACTGAATGCATGTTGAGAATTGTTGTACCATCTGATCTATCTCTTTGTAGATATTTGGCCAGTACAACACTTCACATGCTCTGCGCTTGCATTTTTCTCTTCCAAGATGACCTTTATGAATTTGTTGGAGCATCATCCTCTGAAGACATCTTGGAATGACAATTCTTCTTCCTTTCAAGATAATGCCACCCGACACAGACAACCTGTCTCTGTAGTTCCAGAATTTGACAATACTTGAAGGACATTGTGTCCGCTTGTCTGGCCATCCCTCTCGGATTGTTTTGCAGCTTTTATATTCTGCATGTGAGATTGTGCCATTGGTAGAGATGTAATTACCATTTTGATGTAAGCCTCAACATCATCTTCTAAGCGTTGATCTTCTTCACCTACTGTAGTTTTGTCAACAGCTTTTGACAGTGCATCTGCAGCCCATAATTCTTTACCTGGGGTATATGTTATGCTGAGATCCTATTTTTGTAGTCTGATACGCATTCGCTGAAGTCTGAGTGGACCATCTGTCAGTAGTTTTTTGAAGATGGAGATTAGAGGCTTGTGATCTGTCTCTGCCAGTACCTTCTTCTAAGCACTTTTTTTTTGATTGATTTATTTATTTTAAAACACAAATCTAGATAATAGGCCAATCTACCTGAACAGCTACGAATTGTAAATGTCAGTATTTATTACACAGGTTTCTCAGTGGCTAGGTAGATCGCTTGTGAAGCAGTCGTACCACTGTACCACAGTACCAACTACGTTAGCTAGACTGTGATAGGGCGAACCATTGAATTCGAGTCAACTCGGCCCCATGTCAACTCGGCCCCAAGTAGTCAACTCGGCCCCAAGTAGTCAACTTGGCCCCAATTTTACGGCCCCAATTTACTCTAAATCTTTTTAGCTTGTAATCCAGACCCTTCTTATTGAATTGCCCTATGTGGAATGAATAAAGATATATTGTATTGTATTGTATTATTGTGTATTTACTAAAGAGATTTGAATGCAAAGTCAAAACTAAAGTGTTTTATGTCGTTGCTTTTCATTTACCTCCACTTAACAAGAATGAAAAATGCATTTATAAAAATAATATTAACAATAATATTAACCAGAGCCTTGCAGGCGTCAACGTTCCTATGCATGATACATGACTTAAGAAGTATATAGGCCCTATATATTTATATACGTGTATATATATATATAAATACA